TTTAACAAGACCTCAGTTACTGTAAACATAAGAGTTTCAGTCCCAAGCTGGACATATAAATTCTCCTTACCAATTGCCCCAAGTGATTTGATCTTTGTTTTGAGAATTTGGTAATATATCAAAACAATATTCCGAGTTGATGATTTTCAAATATATTAATATTGTAAGGAGAAATAATATGCTCATCACCCTTGGGACTGCCTCAGAGTACGTCTCTCAAAACCTCTCCAATGAAAGAATGGTTTCCAAATAATGGCTGAAAAACCCGATAAAATTTACAACCGTGTACAGATTATTTTATTGATGTTTTCCCGGCTTATATTTGCTTTCAAGACAAAAAGAAACGGCTCTGAAATATATTTGTTGTACGCACGGGACAACATCAACTCAAGGGTATTTTCAATTCTCTTCAATTCAATAATTTCCGATCATACAACATCAAGAAGTTCATTCAAGAGGAACCGTGAAATTGTAAGCAAAATTGTTATTCTAATTCTGCTCAAGACAACTGGTTTGAAATCATAAAAAGAAAACATGCAAATTTCTGCACGCTGTTTGCACGTAACGAGTAAATTTTTGCATATTAACTGATCAAAATTATAACAGTTTTAACTTTTGCAGTTAAATTGCTGTTATCTCTTAGTCTATCTTCTAGTTGCTTCTTAAAGAGTTACTCTGCTTTAGCTGAGGATCTAAATTCCACGCCAAAGACTTCTGTTCATGTACTTGCATTTCTCATCTTGCGTGACATTATTACGTTCTTTTCGTAACACAAGGTAAATCAGTCACGCAATAGTAAACATCCGTCCTTTTAGAAAATGATATTTACAGACTTGTTTTTTTAGACAATGTAAAGCAAAAGTGAAAATTTTGAAAAACAAAAAAAATTCTGCGGCAATTTTGTTCAAGATTTTAATGACATCTAAAGGTATATTGGCGTAGACCAGAGGAACTGCTTTGAGAAACGTACCCATCAAGGTTTACAGTAAATAGAGATACAGTCAAACCAATCCAAAGGTGACCTTCTGTGTACTTTACCAAACTAATGTGGTGCTTATAAATTATAGATAAATTTCTCTTCTAACAATTTAGCTGCACGAAACAGTTTGGGACTTTTACAAGGTAATCACATTTCAGACTCGAGATGGTCACTTCCCGGGGGTCACTTTACACAAGGTGGTATTTAGAGAGGTTTGACTGTGTTCAATACTTGAGACATGCAATGTAGTGTACCAAGATTTTTCTTCAGTGACTTTTTAATATTTTTTATCTTTTAATATATTTTTTTTCAAAATGTCGTTTGTATGATACGGCAGTTCAACAGATCAATGTCGATACATCATGTGCCAATCATTTTAAACTGTTGGTCAGTCAATCAGCCAATCACAGATTCTGTCCATTGGTAAGTGAGTGAGTCAGGCAGTCAGTCAACAGTCTCTCAACAGTCAATCAGTCAGTCAGTTAACGGTCCATCAGTCAATCCATCAGCAGTCAATCAGTCACTCAGACGGACATGAATAAGTCAATCATAGTCATTGAGTTAGTCAATCAGTCAGCAGTCCCTCAACAGTCAATCAGTCAGTCAGTTGACAGTCCATCAGTCAATCCATCAGCAGTCAATCAGTCAGTCAGACAGTCATGAATAAGTCAATCATAGTGAGTCATTCAGTTAGTCAGTCAGTCAGTCAGTCAGCAGTCTGTCAGCAGTCAATCAGTCAGTCTGCTAGCAGTCCATCAGCAGTCAATCAGTGAGTCAGTCAGCAGTCCTCGAAAAGTCAGTCAGTCAGTTGTGACTCAATCATTCATTCAGTCAGTTAAGAGTCAATCAGTCAGTCAAAAAGTCAGTCACGAGTCAATTAGTGAGTCAGTTAGTCATGAGTCAATCAGTCAGTAGTGAACCAATCAGATGGTCAGTCATGAGTCAATAAATTAGTCAGTCAGTCAGTCTGTTTGTCTGTCAGTCAGTTAGTCAGTCAGTCAGTCAGTCAGTCAGCAGTCAGTCAGTCAGTCAGTCAGTCTGTCAGTTGTCAGTCAGTCAGTCAATCAGTCAATCAGTCAGTAATGAGCAAATCAGGTGGTCAGTCATGAGTCAATAAATTAGTCGGTCAGTCAGTCAGTCTGTTTGTCTGCCTGTCTGTCAGTCAGTCAGTCAGCAGTCAGTCAGTCAGTCAGTCAGTCAGTCAGCAGTTTGTCAGTCTGTCTTAATCCATCAGTCAGTTTGTCAGACAGTCAGTCAGCTAGTCAGTCAGTCCATCTGTCCGTCTGTTAAATTTAACAATTTCATCAACAAAAGAGTGTGATTTAAGGTGGCTTCCTATAGTATTTACGAACACCCTCCCTATATAGAGCGCGTGTTAGAAAAGGAAACTTAAATAATTTCTCTTAAAGTTTTCCCTGTAGAGATTTACCAGTATGGGTACTGTTAAAATATAAAGGCTTATTTTTTGGTTGTCAATTTTTGGATTAAGGCTGCTACCATGGCAACATCTCATCTAATGACTGGCAGATATATTCCTCACTTTGGCCTAAACTCCTTAATATTTATACACTCCTTCGGTAAAATTTTTTCATACTTTACCACATCATGGAAATGATATTGCCTGACACTTTGAATTGGTAAAAAGTCAAGATTGTTCAGACAGTTTTTCCAATATTCTATAATTTGTCATTCTTCTAAATATACTAGATTAGCTCACACAGATTTGAACAAAAAAATAGGATATTTTATAGGAATTGTTCAAAAACATTCACCGAAGGAAACACGAGAAAATTCACTGTCAGTTTTGCTTTTTGTCCTCATGTTGATGTCATAAAAATCGAAAAACACTAACGCTTTCCTTTGAGCATGCACAGATGACTTGAGCTTTTCTCCTATGTGCACGTGCAATCATAAAACTATAGGGAGCCACCTTAATAGCCTTTCTTACTCATTGTGTAAATAATCAAGGCACAAACTGCATGTCTGAAGTCAAATAATCAGAGCAGAACTTGGCTTATTCAAGAGCTTTGTTTACCTGGTTCACCCAAGAGTTGGATTGCAAAATAAAACATGCAGCCCTTCTTAAGATAACTGCTTGAAGATTAAGTCCACTTTGTCCCTGTTGGCATCTGATCTGGAAAAGAACGAGAGCTTATTTGTCAGGCTAAGAAATAATTTGATACGAGTTTTTAAAATTATTACCATGTACTTAACATTGCAGCTCAGAGGGTCGCATGGTTCATGAATGGAAAAAATAGCGAATCACAGATCACGGATATCGAAATTTCATTTTTGCGAATCACAAAAATAAGCAAGCAAAGCACTCTTTTTAATAACCTGCTCTTACACTCTAAACAGTGTTACTTGGTCATATGACATTTTGCAAAATCAGGCGAATGACATCAAGGAAAGCTCTGCTACTTGGTTGCTGCAGACGCCTTATGAAACATTACAATAATTATACAGAAGTCACATTTGATGTTTTCAGTCTTAATAAATCTTCTGGAGGACTTGCGTCTCAAAATCACGTAGAATAGAGTGATTAAATCAAGAATATCAGTTGCTAATTCCAGTTCTTCACAGGTCACGCAAAACCTTCAAGTCACAGATCACAAGGAAGAATTTCCCAAATTCACGTTTCATGGAAAATAAAATCAGCATCACAAGGATACCCCTGTATGACCCTCAGTTTAATAAGAAGGAATTTAGTCAACACAATGTTGATGTCTTGTTGACATAATCTCAAATAGTCTGTGAATCAGTCAACTATGACGGCAGTCAGTCAGTCAGTTTATCTGTCTGTCTGTCCGTCTGTCAGTCAGTCAGTCAGTCTGTCTGTCTGCCTGTCTGTCTGCCTTCCTGGTCAGTATGTCAAATAGTCTACATATCAGTTTATCAATGAGTTAACCTGTTAGTCTGTCTGTTTGCCAATCAATCACCATGCCAGTTCTACTAGTTGATTTGTTATCTTAAACAATTACATGTACACAGGCAATGAATAAATCAGTTCAGAGACCAACCAGAAGTTTAACAGGATATTTTGTCAATAATATTTTATTGGGATATAGTGAACATGCCTTAGTGCACTGCTGAGTTATACATGTATACAAGCAAGCGTGTCATCGGAACTTCAGAGAACACAAGAGAAGCACAAAGAAAACAATGAGTTGGCGCACTTCACAAGTGTATCAGTCTTTCTGCCAGTCCATCAACCAGCCTCTCAACCTCTACATTAGCCAGTCAATTAGTTAATCATTTAAAATGGATTAAGGCACAATTTCTAGTTTATTCTTTGCAAAATGGAGTGCAAAAGAGGAATTCAGTGCAATTTCAAGGTTACCCCGGGTGAAAAAGGCCGCAGTGAAAAAGAGAAGACAATTTGTCACATTTAACCCATTGACTCCTGGAGCTTTTTGCCAAAAACACATTTTTCGGACATTTTGGAGATTTTCAGCCTGGATATCATATAATGGGCCAAATTAGCTCCAATCTATTCAAAAAGGCATTTGCAAAATGACACCATGCCTTTCTTTCCACTGACATCACAACATTTTTGCTCGGGCATGCACAGAAATCAAAATTTTGAGTTTTGGGATGAGAAAGTGATCTATGTCTTTAGGCTTTTTGTTTTGTTTTGTTTTATTTTTTTGTCACCTTTCCTTTTTCTCCTTATCTTATCTTTTTGCTGCAGTGATTGACCTTCTACTGGACTTGCTTTAAGTTCAAAAATTTCTGAGAAATTTTGGAGTAGCTAAGTGTAGTCACAGGAAATTTTGCTGCAAGTTTTTCCGATCACTCTGATCTGGGTATCATTGGAAAGACTCCTGGCCTGCAGAATGTGAGTATAGATGATGACAATTTTGATCAAAGGTGATGATGTCAGCAGTGGAACAAAGGCCAATGCTCGTCACGGCCTGTTACAGGCAGAAGGAGAGTCAATGGGTTAAAGGGGACATGTAAATTCCATTAGTCCAAACAAAACATTCTTGCACTGCTGTTTGTCATTTTGACATCTGGCAACTAAAAAAAAACAAAAAAACAGAGACAGCCGTAGTCTTCTTGAACATAAAGAGAGGAGGAGTACAAAATTACACAATAATGCTGTACAAGTCATATATACATGTATGTATCTAACAGTGACTTAGCCTGGATTCTTGGTTCTCCTACATTCTAACCAAAAGAAAACAATCTCAATGTAAAAATTTGCATGCAGGCACCATTGGGATGTGTACATTTGTACGCAGTCTGTTTCGCTGACTGTTTTTCCTCTTTGTACACAGATTCTTGAGTTT